TGTTACGCAAAAATAACTTCACGTTATTCTATATAAATAATATCGAGTGAGTATATATATAAAAAATGTTCAATGCCAAGTAGATATATGTATGAATACCTAAACAGGTGAACACTAGAGTAATAAAAAAGAATGGATATAAAACTATAAAAAACAAATTCTTTTAATATCAATACACCACAACCTCATAGTTAACTCTCATGTCATGAGAAATTAATCAAATACACATAATTGTCCCTAATTAAAATCCATGTCTTCACAAGCTAGTCTTGCTCGTAGAGTATAACCACCTAACTAGCATGCAATATATATATATATATATATATATATATATATAGAACAAAATATCGAACACACCCAACTTCGAAACCTAATTTTTTGTCAATTCTGATTTGTGAAGCGATTATTAATGTCACATTCCAGTCAAAAAAATTCAATTAAAATTTCTAATCTAATTAAATGAAAAAATGAAAACCAATTAAAAACGATTGTAAGAGTTTCTTTCTGTGCCTTCTCGTTTATTTTGTCTAAATGATATTCATTAGCTTCAATCCAAAGTCGCACGCATTTGGCTTTGTGTTAATGGAACGAAATTGTGAATATCAATCCCTCTCGCTTTAAGTTCAGCCTCAGCGTGCTGTGGTACGAGTTGAGAAATGAGATCATCTCGAATAGATAGTTCTATAATTTGTAATAAATTCCAATTTAATATATATGCAAATATTAAATAATCATAGAAATTTCAAATCTGACCTTGTTCAGTAAAATCAAAAAGTTTTGGTAGTTCCTTTCCAGTAGGAAGTCTCGTTTCTGGATTTCGAAGTTCATCAAAGAATGGATGACACATTGCCTCAATTGCTGTCAACCGGTTAGATGGGGTATAATCCAGAAGGCGAGATATAAGATCAATAGCCTCGGGTGGTGTCCTAGCGCGGAAGACCTATATAAAGTTCAGCAAAAAAAAATTTTTCATCATGCAACTTATCTTGGTTAAAATCTTAAAATGACAAAAATGCAGGAAAAAGTAACCTTTGAAAATGGATGAGGTTTGATTTGAGGGAATTTATGCTCCATATAGTTCGGATTCATGGTTTTGATTTGCTCTTTTGTAGGTGTACCTAAAACTTTGATAATTTCTACCAATTGATCAATACCACTTTCTCCGGGGAATAGAGGCTGTCCGAGCATTAATTCGGCCATAACACAGCCCGTTGACCAAACGTCTATAAAAAAATGACGAATAAATAAATAAATAGAAAGAAAAAAAAAAGGATAGAAAAATAATAATTATAATCAACGATTTTTTTTACCGATATTAGTTGTGTAATTTGTTGCGCCAAAGATCAACTCCGGTGCCCTATAGTATCTTGAACAAATATATGAAACATTTGGCTCTCCTGCGACAAGGATTTTTGCACTACCGAAGTCACACAATTTTAATACTCCTGTGGCCGGATTCAGTAATAAATTTTGTGGTTTAATATCACGGTGGCAGATGCCGAGAGAATGGATATAGGCAAGCGACCGGAAAAGTTGATACATGTATAGTTTTATACAAAGCATTGGCATTGTTTGTTTGCTTTTAGTGTACATTCTGGATGCTCTATAAACAGTTTCAGGGACATATTCGAGTACGAGGTTGAGATAAACTTCATCTCGCTAAATGAAGACAGACATCATAGAAGGAGGAAAAAAAAAAAGAAAAAAAAAGAAAAAAAAAAAAGAAGAAAAAAATAAATGAATTACTGAATAAATTTGTTATGTAAAAAGAATACTTACTTTATCTCCGTTAGAGTAAAAAAAAGCCTTCAGGCCCACTATGTTAGGATGTGATACCAATCTCATTATTTGAAGCTCTCGGTTCTAAAATATAATATCGAACGAAAACAATTAACAATAATAGAATTTAACAGTTTTCAAAAACAATTGCATGTCATTGCACTATCCTTGTTAGTATGATAAATTGGCAAGCAGAATTTACCTTAAACCGTTTATCTTGAAGTACTTTTTTTATTGCGGTCTCGTCACCTGAATTAATTAGTTTTGCTTGAAATACTACACCGAAGGAACCATTTCCAATTACTTTGGTAACAGTGTAAGATAAATCAAACTCTTCTCCAGTTTTTCCATCACTAGCAACCACCTTGATCACTTTGTGTGGATCGTTTTCACCTAAATTAGAAAAAAAGGATGGTGCAGATGTAAAGAGTCAATTGATTATCTACATTTTCAAGGCTCTCCTCTGAGCTACAGGAAGAGTTGAAGGAAAAGGATAATGTGATGCGGTGTTCAACACGACTAGGCCAAAGTGAGAAACCATTAGACCCTCTTTGACAACAGCAGTTGATGCTACTGCGCAAAGCACTCACACCGAAGAATAGAGCTAAATCACTCACCGACTTTAATTCCATTGACAGGCCCGTTCGGCATTGTTGTATTATGTGGTGCTTTTGCCTCTGCTACGTTACTAGCGCCGTTGGGACGACGTTTACTTGACATCATTGAACTACACAAGCAGGCTTCGAAGGATGAATATTTGAATTATATTGGCATTTATAAGATCGATGTTTTGGACACATTTTCCATTTCAGATGTTGCCCCGCCGATGATACGTACTACATTACCTGATTCTTATTAGTTAGACTAATGCTTAAGTCTAAGCACTAGGCATACACCAAATAGGAGTTCTGCACAACGCCTCATTTTTCTTTATATCACATATATCGATTTTGTATATTACGCATATACATATCTAATCCAAGCACCTGATCACCAGTATCGGATTTTGGTAAAGGCACGGAATGCCATTTTTGTTATCAACGTTGGTTGACTAATTGGAATATTAATACTATCGCTACGTACGTATAACAAAGCTTTCTATGAATTGTTTATTTGTATATATACGTATGTATATGCCTCGAATATTTACTAAATTTGAAGTTTAAGTAGCAGCTTACGAATGTTGTACGTACGTACGTATGTACGTTATTTCTTAAGCCGTATTTTGGGAAAGTATTAATTTTTTGAATTACGTATTTAAAAATTATTAAGATTAATTTTATTATAAGTATATAAAAAGTTTTAATTTTACAGTATATATATATTAAGGCCGCACAAAATTATGCAATTGGTTTTCATATCATGGGACAATAATCTGTGACCCGGCCGCACGGTTTTTTTTATTAAGTAAAAAAATTTTTTTTAAGTCGTTAACATTACAGTTTGGATTTAATGTTTTTTAATTATTGTAAACTTATCGCTCTTTTCAAATTATACCACACGAACTTATACTATCAGTTTTCATATCGCCAACTACTGTAACTTTTAGTTGATCCGGCGACCTGGATTTTAGTCACAACCCAAATACCCGATGCAAAAAAATTTTTTAATAATATGCGAACGATTCAGCATTTTTAATGGGCATGAGCGCTTTACAAAATTGAAAGTACTTTTTATGACATAGTCTCGCTTAAACCAGAAATGCTAGATACGCATTAAAAACCCAAGTGTAAGACTTCTAATATTTATAAAAATACTACCAAATTATCTTATGAAATCTATTTCAAAGTATTGTCCTCTTTGCAATTGATTAAACTTTGTAGTATCCGTATAAGCGAAAACATATGATTAAAAAAAACTGACCCAATCATATGCAAGATTTTAAGTTTACTAAATACTGTATGTTATGTAGATTTATACGTAAAATACACACTACCTACAAGAGTTTCTTTGAGTAATAACTTGAATAGAGATAAATAGTCTCTGAGTTTCTTACAAAAGATATTGGATATAAATGGTAAAATCTTTTGCAATATCGGTAACTCCTTTAATAAACTCTTAATTGATTATAAATTTGAGTTACTTTATGTCTAGAAATGGACAAATACATGGGTTATACGTATAACAAATTACTATGCAGACTAATAGCCGATATTGAAAGAATTTTTTAGTGTAGCTTTTAAACTTTGACCACTATTACAAAAAAATTAAGCCGTTACTAAATAAAAAATAGATGAATATAAATTGTAAACAAGATTGTCCAAAATTTGTATAGTATAGTCTAACCTCCATACATTCACATCTTTGGGATACAAAAATTGGTAATTATATAAAGATGTTTTTTTTTATATAGTTATATCCATATTATAAAATATAGTCAATAATTATATAGAAGTTTTAATAAATAAAATTTTTTAAAAATTGTTTTTTTAATAGTATTGCTAATTTTCACCGGGGGAAGGCCACCAGGATGTATATCTCAAAAACGTGCTAGCTAACATCACCTCAGTGGTACTAAATAAAAATGTTCAGAACTTTCAAAAACCTTATGCTAATTAAAATTGAGATCCTAATATTTAACCCTAAGCTTCGTCTAAAATTACACCCTAATTCTAAATTTTAATAATAGTTAAAGGAATAAATTTTCTCTCTGGTTAAATGTAGTATTTGCTTTTTTTATATAATTGATTATTATTGTTATAAAAATTAAAATTATACTAAGTATTATAAATTGATAATAATGCTCTAAATAATATTGTTTAAAAGACAAAATCATATACAGTATAATTTGAAATTATAAAATAATTTGAATAATATTTTATTATTATACTTTTACAATTTATATTTAAATAAAAAAAGGATTTTATTTTTTTTATATTTATGTAATGTATTACTACTTATAAGATTATGTGTAATGTAAAATTAAAACAATAAATAATAATGTATTAGTTTAAGGTTAGAGTTACTATTAAACTAAAATTAGATGTAGCTTTAAGAAAAGAAGTTTTTAATCTAAAATATTATAAAGAAATTTTTTAATTAGAGTATATAAAGTGGTTTGATAAACAAAATCTTGAATTACAAACAATTTTTTAAAAAAGATTATATGAGTATTACTAAAAAAAAGCCTAAAAATTTAAATCTAAGTCATATTTAAATTGTTAAGTTTTCTTTTAGTAATACTTATATTTTATTTAATTTTACATTATATTTAGAGTTGATACAAACTAGTTAATAGTCAAGCTTGATTAGATCAGTTTAGCTAGTTTAACCAATTGGTTAAAAGATTTAGTATTCAAAGAATATTTAAATATATAGTATATATATATTTTTTTTTTAATATTCAAAAGTGAGACCATGCCTCTATCTTTATTAAAATCCAATTAAACTTCTTTACAAATAAAAATAAAGAAATTACATTATTTGAACTTTATATCTATAAGATACTAAGATTAGAGACTCAGTCAGAGCCCTTGCTAACTCAAAAGTTATAGGAGTTATCTGTGACCTAAACCTATATATAGTATATATATGCATATATATTTATGAGCGTTAGTTTATGGTGACCCTGTAATCGACCAATCAAAATCGATCACATGAATCACATGACGACCAATTTGCGAAGAGCAAATCGGCGTACACGTAATTCACAGGACCGATTTTAATCGATCGATCATCTAAAAATATCGCGTAATGAAACTACAAGTTAAAAAAAAAAGAGCGAATCTATCACTACCGGGTACAACCCAAACACTTTTTTTATTTTTTTTAAAAAAAAAATCAACTATATATCATTTTTAATTTATTTTCGTCAAAACAGTATTACTGCATTATGATATTATAACCTCTATATATCCGGTGCCAACTACGCATTTTATTTATTAAAAAAAAAAAAAAAAAAAATCCTAATCTAAAAAAAAAAAAAATACTTTGCCCAGCCCTACACACCCATAACAGAGCCCCCAACTCGACCGATTTCCCACAGAGACAAAACAAAAATGTCAGAAGTACCCATTTTCTCAGATCAAGAACGAGACTCCAAGAATGACAACTCCAAGAAACAAAGCACCTAAAAAAGAAAGAAGTTAATACCCATAACCAAAAAAAAAAAAGTAGTAAAAAAAAAAAAATACAAACTGATGAAAATCTCGACCCCAGTACTATGATGATTCCAAGAACGATGTCTCCTAGAACTACAACTCCCAGAACAACGACTCTAAGAAAAAATAAAAAAAGAGAGAAGTTAGTACCCGTAACAAAAAAAAAACTAGTAAAAAAAAAACACTTACAATAAACCGACAAAGATCTCAACTCCCATTCTAAGAATCACACCAAGAACGACGGCTCCAAGAATGATGGCTCCAAGAAGGACGACTCCAAGAAAAGAAGCAACTAAAAAAAAAAAAGAGTTAAAAAAAAAAAAAAAAAAAAAAAGTAAATAAAAAAAAACCCATACTAACAAATAACCAAA